CGCCTAGCGCGACAGTCCCGCCTCTCTCGGTTTCCTCCCCAAGGCTCCCACTGCCCGCTGTTTCGAGGCTGGTCTTGCCACGTGGCTTTGTCCTGGCACAGGCCTGTTGTTTGGTACCAGGAGTCAATGTCCCCTTGCCTGGGACACCCCTTCCCCTTTCAGAGTCAGAGGTTTTTCTATCCCAGCCATAGTGTATTACAGACAAGCAAGCGTAGGAAGGATGTAGCTTGTGCATTGGCCGCTGGTGCTGTGTCCTGCCCAGCAAGCTAAGCAGGGTAAGGCCCGGTGTGTGCTGGGATGGGAGACCTCAGAGGGACGGGGTTCCGTAGGGGGTGCTCTTCCTATCAAGTGAGAGCTGAGCTAGTGTCCCAGCAGGTCTAGAGTTAGCACTTTAAGCTGCACCGCTGTCTTCAGAGACCGTGTAGAACCAGGCTCTCTGCCTGCTTGTGCTCACTGGAGACCTTGGGTACTTTTCACAGGAGCTGGGATCCGAGTATGAACATCTACATTCTTATCCCTCCAGGGATGCAGGATTCTTCCTCCTAAACCGTTGTGTTCTCTCCTATTCTCCGTCGGTTTTCATATCGCCGTAGCAACTGAGAGCCTTCCAGTAGCGCACTAAGCAACGTGACTAGCACGTCGTGTGTTGGCTGGTCTCTTGCCCCCTCCCAAGAGGGAGGAGTGTGTGTGGTGGAGTGTCTGGTTTTGGTTGTTGCTGCTGCTAAATGCACCTTTTGCTGTGTGCGCCGAGGAGGGCGGCTGCGAGCTCGCTAACGGGGCTCTAGCCTGCTGTCCTTTGACCCTTAACCCCTTGACGAGGGAGTGGGGCTAACTCGGGGAGAACAGGGGGTTCAGAAGCTGGCTCCAAAGCGACCGGAGGAGCTAGCGGGCAGGGGTTTTGCGAGGGAGTTCTCCAGGTGAAGGAGGAGCGACTGTGTGACCCTTGGGGTGAGTGTGTGTGTGTGTGTGTGTGATTAAAAATGTTAGCGTGGGCTGTACGCTGAGCCTAGCAGCCTGTGACAATAATGTAGGCAGAAGTCCAGTCCATTGCACCGCAGGCGGCAAGTACAGTTACCTGCTTGCATGTACATACACTGCAAGCAGCTCATGGCCCTCAGAGACACGGGACTGTCTCTTGAGGCCGGGGCGCAGGAACAGTGTGTAGAGGGGGGGTGCTGAGAGTGATTGAATCAAACTGTAAACCCGGCATGTAATGGAAACCACTTCAAGCCAGGAGGTGCAGCTGCACCCCTAGTTCCAGCACCTATGCCTGAGGCCAGACTGGCTGAACTGGAGGGGCTAAGGGAGACAGAGAGACACGTAGATGAAAAATCATGAATGGTGTGGAGATAATGAATAGGGCAGTGTTACTTACCGCTTCATGCTAATACAAGAACCAGGGGTCACCCAATGAAATTAACCGGCAGGCGGTTTAAAACCAACACAAGGAAGTATTTCTTCCCCCAACGCCGTCAACCTGTGGAACTCGTTACCAGGGAATGTTGTGAAGGCCAAAAGGAAAACTAGATTTAAAAAAAGAACTATCCAAGTTCAGGGAGGACAGGCCCGTCAGTGGCCATTAGTCAAGATAGTCAGGGATGCAACCCAATGCTCCGCGTGTCCCTAAACCTCTGACTGACAGAAGCTGGGACTGGACGACAGGGAATGGATCACTCGAAATAGCCCTGTTTTGTTCATTGCATCTGGCATTGGCCGCTGTCGGAAGACCGGATCCTGGGCTAGATGACCCATCGGTCTGACCCACTATGGCCGTTCTTACATTCACGTTGGAGAAGGCAGATCAAAGACTTGCTCCTTGCACTTGGAGTGGAAAGTGGTGAGGTTTGTGATAGTCCTTAGCTCCTGGGGCAGTTCATTCTGCAGTCTCCGATCATCCCGAGAGACGGTTCCGTCTCCCGCACAGACGAGCTTTACTCTTATTGGTGAGAGTTCCATTGTGCTGGAGGAGTGAAGTTGTCAGCCATGGTCTCCGTCCTGGAGCTGTAAATGATCTTTTAGGTACCCTGGGTCCATGCCGTGGAGCACTGTGTGACAAGGACCGAGACTTTAAACTTGATTAGCAATTCTAGGGGAAGCCAGCGTAGAGAGCAGAGAATGGGGGTGATGTGCTCACCCTAGCATGTGTTGCTGAGGTGACATCTGGTAGCATTTTATGCAAGTTGGATTTCCCGAAGTGCTGAAGGTTTCGTGCCCAGGTATATTGCGTTGCTGTAGTCCAGTTAAACAGCTGCTTTGCTCCACCTCAGAGGTGGCTGCGTTTCCGTGGTGTGGGTGAATCGATCCCTTTCTGATACTAGTGTTTTGTGTAAGCTGCTTTGGGCTCCTAGGGCAAAGGGCCGTTATTTAAAATTCTCTCGGTAGGTTTTTAAAGCATATACAGGGCTGGTGAACGTCTCTAGATTAACAGCCCTGAACTCCTCGAGGCACAGAACATACTGCTACCCTCCAGGGCGATGGGAGG